TGCCTAAACCCCAAGCCTGAGGTTCAGGGCTTAGGGCATTTTGGGGTAGGCCGGAATGCTTGGGGTTACGTTGATGTGCAAGACAAAGAAGTTGAAGAAGCACCCCATCCCTGGCCCGATTCCTAAATCAAAGGGTCGCTTGACATGCTCGTCGCATCAATTGAACTCTGTTCAGGCGTTCGGGGCGGAAGCAAGACACAGCATCCACAACATCACGCGTAAAGTACATGCATCTACATACAGCGTCATGTAAAGGTGATGTATCTTCTGTCAACCACACGCACCTAGTGAAAGCCCTGAAGTCAAACCCGTTAGTTTTTCGTCGGCCCGGAAGGCCGACAAAACGAAAAAACTCAACCCAACAGTCTGAAGCCCTGAATCGAAAGCCTAAACCAGAAGCCCTGCATGAGCCCTGGCCTAAGCCTGAGTTGGGCCCTTCCCCCCCCCCCCCCGCTCGCGCGCGCGTGGCGCGCGCGCAAACTTGAAGTAAATCCTCAACTCTAGGATTATGTAGACCCTAAAAACTTCTATTTGCTGAAGAACACCAAAGAATAAAGAGTGCCCCTATAAGGAAGCATATTTCCGTTTTTTGTGGTGTTTCTTAACCCTAAACCCTAAACGTCCTAAACCCTGAAGCAAAGAGCAGAAAAGGGATGCTTAGGCAATCTACACTTGAGGCGCAGAGTGGCCGATGCAACCCCTACGATGGTTTAGGGTTTAGGGTTTAGCGTTTAGGGTTTAGGGTTTAGCCTGCTAGGTTTAGGGTTTGGGAGGGGGGAGGGGGGGCGGGGGTCAGGATTTCTTTGTTGCCGGGACGGGTTCGGGGTCGGAGTTAAGTCGATTTGGGTTTGGGGTCTTGGGAGGGGGCGCCTTCCAACCTAGGAGGCCCTGGCGAAGGAGGCCGGAGGGCTTGTTGGAAGGTTCTTGCCCCAAACCCTGAAACCCAAACCCTGCATCCTACTAAGCCCTAAGCCCTAGACCCTACACCATGGGCTGCCCTGTTTTCTTGTTTTAAGTTTTGTGTGGGCCCCTGAGTCTCCGTCGCTTCTGCGTCTGCGTCTGCTTCTGCTTCCGCTTCTTCTGCTGCTGCTGCTGCTGCTGCTGCTGCTGCTGCTGCTGCTGCTGCTGCTGCTGCTGCTGCTGCTGCTGCTGCTGCTGCTGCTGTGGTGGTGGTGGTGCTTGTACTGTAAATGCAGCTCGCGGTGTCTCAGATCTCGGGTTTGGGTTCAGTGTGTGGGGTCTGGGGCTTGGCTTAGGCTTCAGGGCTTCCCAAGCCCTAAAACAGGTACAGTTTGAAGCTGTTGGGATGAGGTCATCAGAGTGCGGTGTTGAGGACTTCGGTTGAGGAGTGTTACCAGTCCTAGAAACTGTGGGGTGGCTGGCTAGGGGTCGGGGAAGGGGGTGCCCCGAAAGGTTAAACCCTAAACCCTTCTCAACCCTGAAGCCTGAAGCCTGAAGTTTGTAGGGTTTAGGGTTTAGGGCTTAGGGTTCATTGTTTAGGGGGTTGTGGAAACTTCCGTGCCTCAGCCAATGTGCGGCCCTGCAAACAGAACCTACATAAAAGCCGATTTGGCAGGTCCTTCAGGTACACCCTAGGCCTAAAGCCCGAAATGAGTCTCATGGGCAGTATGCCCTTCATCGGCAATGTGCGGCTCCAGTTCCGAGTAGTGATGCTCATCGCAGTAGAGCTAGATGTTGCCGAAACTCACTAACTCTAAGTGGTTTTCGTAACCCTAAACCCTACACCCCCTAAACCCTAAACCCTAAACCCTACACCCTAAACCCTGGACCCTAACAAAATTGAAGTCTTGGCTTGCATAGGGCTTAGGGTTTAGGGTTTAGGGTTTAGGGTTTAGGGTTTAGGGTTTAGGGTTTGTGGGTTCCTGGCGTGACTTTGCAAGCTAGTTGCAAAAGGGTTTAGGGTTTAGCAAATCGACCTGGGCTCGACCGCAGCCCCCCCCCCCCCAAAGCATGTTTTCCTAGTGGTACCCTTTTTGCCTTGCTTTTTCTTCATTTCAAGGGTTCCCTTATAAGGTAACCAAGCTTAACAAGGGTACCCTTAGTATAATATCGACTCCCCACACAACTTGCTTCCCAAGCTTGATTGAGTCAATTCCGTTAGGAACAAGTTTGGGGGGGGGGGGGGGAATACGAATCAGAACTAGACGTGGGCGAAGAAACCCTAAGCCCTAAACCCTAAACACTAAACCCTAAACCCTAACATTCTGTGCTGAACTGCTTCGCGGCTCCCGAAACCTTAGGGCCGAAGCATGTCAAGCTCTCTAAGGGTAGTTATGTGGGCCCGGAACATGGTCCCGAACTTCCCTTAATTAGGGTTTCGGGGGTTTAGGGTTTAGGGTTTGGGGTTTACGGTTTGGGGTTTGGGGTTTGGGGTTTAGGGTCATACGGGCCGTCAGTGTGGTCCCTTGCCTCCCTTTAAAAGTTCTGATGTATAGGCCCTTGGGTCGTATAGGGTATATAGGGCGGTATATGCGGGGTCCCCTTTCAAGGGCCCTAAACCCTAAACCCTAAACCCTAAACCCTAAACCCTAAACCCTAAACCCTAAACCCTAAACCCTAAACCCGAAGAGGCTCACAACGCGCGTGCCCAGAGTGAGCTGTGAGACCTCCGGCATGCACGGCTTCCAGAAGTTCGAGGCCAAGCAACCATAAAACTCTCCAAACCGGGTTTAGGGTTTAGGGCTTAGGGCTTAGGGCTTAGGGCTAAGGGTTAGGGTTTGGGCAGGATGCTGTCGGAGCCCTGCTAGAATGGCTTCCCCCAATCCAGAACCCAAACCCTAAACCCATGACAAAAAGAACAATCCCAAAGGTTAACCTTAAATCCCGAACCGTACTACTAGGATACTGGACAGCTAAGGAAAATATGCCCTAAAACCATGAATCCTAACCCCTACAGTAAAGACTAAACCGCAAAGCTCCGCGGCAGCCCCACTAAAAATGAAGCCCAAACGCATCTCGAGATTCACAACCAGCGACTCAAGGAACGTGTCAGGGTCCAGGGTTGTTTAGGGTTTAGGGTTTAGGGTTTAGGGTTTAGGGTTGAGGGTTGAGGGTTGAGGGTTTAGGGTTTATAGGGTTTAGGGTTTAGGCTTAGGGATCAGGGCTCTAGATGTTGTAAAGTTGAGGGTTGACGGTTATGCGTTGCGTTGGGTGATTGCCCCTTGTGCTGCTGCACAAGGGGTTCAGGATCTTGACTTGTTGGCTTGGATCCATTCGTGCTGAACAAAAACCTGCGAGACTCGGGTACCAGTGCAGGTGCCCAATGCCGAGCACTCCCGGCTTATTGATTGCGATTCGTGGGACGAAGATGACCGCGTGAGCGCTCGGTATTTATTCTTAGGGTTCAGGGTTGGTTCTAGGAGGAGTGCGCGGGAGCGAGCGAAAAGCAGAGAGTGAGAGAGTGAGAGATTGAGAGATTGAGAGAGTGAGAGAGTGAGAGAGTGAGACAAGAGCTGTTGGAGGTAGCGACCCCCTCTCGCCAAATTCACGATTTGGGGTGGTAGGGGGTTGAAGGATCAGGGCTAGGGGTTCCAGAGAGGTTTTTATCTTCAGAACGCAGCCTTCAACGCCAAGCTTTTTCTGTGAGTTTTTTGGGCATCTTGAAACTCAACGGCCGCCTAAACCCCAAGCCCTAAACCCTAAACCGCTCTACGGCTGAAGCTGCTGGCAGTTGCAAGGTGTTGAGCTCTAGGTTTTTGGAGAATCCTGGTAGCTCAGTGGTACCCTTCTTTTCCCCTTTTTTTCACATAATTCGGTTGCCTTACAAAGTTACCAACCCCAGAAAAGGGTACCCTTATTACAATATGGTTCCTGGGCTACCAAGGAATTCAGGTTCTTGGGTGTTGAGGCTCGGAGAGCATGGCTTACGTTTACTATTATTTGCTTAAGAACACAAAAGAAAAATCAATAATCCCTAGATTACCCTTAATAAGGAAGAATATGGCTTCTCAAGCAGTAGTAGTTTAGGGTTTAGGGGTGAGGGTTATTCACAGACCGTTGCCGTGGATCAGGGGCGTTTGGGCTGTTTTGCCGCGGGTCCCTTTTCCACAATTGGACTTTCACACTCAGATATTTCGACACGGAACCTGCCATTGCACCTGAGCCCCAAGCCAAAAAGGCTGCCCTAAATCCTAAACCCTAAATCTTGGCTGGGCTGCTTTCACAATTCTCCGCAGTTCTCCAGAATAAAGAATTTCAGTACCTGACGGGGACACTGAAAACCGTGGACCTGCCAGCTCACCCCCATCCTGCGCCCACATATTCTACGTTGCCAGAAGAATAGAATATGGGGGTCGGAATAATTACTAATAGTACGAGTATTCCCTTATGGTCCCTATATGAATATACTGTGATGTCGTCACAAAACCCTGAGCCAAGTGTTATGGCCCCTATACCCAGAGGGTCCATTTGTATTACTATTATGGAATTAGGTACCCAAAAACCATGCTAAACCCTGAACCCTAAACCCTAAACCCTAAACCCTAAACCCTCTGGGATATGAACCGACCCACAGTCCACAAGAGCAATTCCTAAGTCTCGGCGCCGATGTTGTGAGCTGGGTGTTTCCGAAATTAGCTAGGATACCCTAAACCCTAAACCCTAAACCCTAAACCCTAAACCCTAAACCCTAAACCCTAAACCCTAAACCCAGTAGTACCCTTATTCCCTTTTTTGGGGGGCTCAGGTTCCCTTATAAACCCCTTGAAGCAAAAAAGGGCACCGATTTTAAGCCTAGGTTACTGGGCAGCCTAGTTAGGGAGTACCGTCTGTGGGGTCCTTATTGTCAGGGAACCTTACTCTTTGGGAGTCTGCTTTAGGGGTCCCCCAAAATCGTACTGCTGGCCTGGCGTTAGGGTTTAGGGTTTAGGGTTGAGGGTTTAGGGTTTAGGGTTTAGGGATTATAGGGTTTAGAGTTTAGGCCCTACTTTCATAGCGCGGCCCAGCTTTCCGTGAAGGATAGATGTCGAGCTCCTGCTGCCATGGCGTCCATAGATGGCCTCGAGGTGTGCATCGGCGCCACTTCTGAGTTCCTTAGTAGCTGAATGAGTACACTGTACACTTTTTGGGATACTTTAATCCTCTATAGAACTCAAAGTGTACATTTTTGGGGGGGCTTATGAACTCAGCAATTCCCAAGGGCATCATCCCTTGAATCTGATGGCATAACCTCTGCGCCAGGGACTTCCATGACAGAGGAGGACGTGTTTGTCGAGGCGTACATTGGGTTCATCTCGGAGATGAATGCAACAAGCCCGGAGATCGTGCGAGCGATTCCAGTGCATCGGGTCCTGCAACTGGCACCGTGGCGGTGGGTACTCAATGGGTTCAGGTTTCTTTACCCCTTCAGCATACAGACGACCCATCTCCACGAGTTCTGGTCCCACAGCTGGCGCACAAGCGCTTGGCTCAAGTACCTCAACGTACTCTTCCTGAACAACAGCATTCCAGCTTTCTTCATGTCTTGGCTCATTGCCTTTGTCGCCTTGTTCCTGTGCGTGGCAGGCGTCTTGCCTGCGTGGGTCGGCGCACCATTCGAGTACATCTGGTGCACAGTGGCTGGGACAGTGGGCTATGTCTTGACTTTGCTGCTCTGGCGGTGCAAGAAGCTGGTATTTCTTGACATTGCCTGCATCAGTCAGAAGGATGAGAGGTTGAAATCAGCGGCTTTGGTCAGCATGGGCGCTTTCCTGAAAAACTCCCAGTCACTTTTGGTTCTTTGGGACGAAACGTACCTTGGAATTGCACATCGGACTTGGAAAACATAGCAGAAGAAAGTCCAGGCACCAGCTAAACAAAGGGAAAAGTTGACAATAGCGTCGTGCCTGGTAGGCTTTGGGATAAGACTTGATAAGACCCATTCCTCAAGTTTGCCAAGTCGTTGTATTGCTGCTGTGCTGCTGTTGCCGCGATCGATGTTGTTGCTCATGTTGTTCTTCTTGCTGTCGTCGTCGTCGTCGTCATCGTCGTCGTCGTCCCTCCAACCCTTTTGACTGGTTGGCTGGTGCTCGTAGGGGGTACATGCCCAGGTATGTAGAAACCGGCACTGTAGGCAGGGGCTGAATTCGCAAGCTTTCCCGGCCAAGTTGGTCGTTCTTGCGTTGGCGACATGTTGTTTGCTGGCGATGGATTGCTGGTTGTCTGAATGTTAGCTGTTCTTGCTGTGGTTGATGCTCGAAACACCTTGTTTGCCGAAGTGGCACTCATGCCGTGTTTTGTCCAAGCAGACAAAGACGGTCTACAAAGCGCGGCTTTTCAGTTTGGGAGGGGTAGGGGGGCTTGGACGCTTAACGTCCATTCTGCGTTTTCTTGGATTGTTCCTGAGAACCTTTCTGGCGTTTAGCGCTTCAACGCGGATGGTGCTATCGGATCGCATTCTGACGAAAGAGGCCGCGAAGAGGTTGACAGACGAAGCACGGGGAGTGCGGACATGGAGCTTGACAGTCGTTTGACAGGCAGGGGAGTGGGGTGCACGTGGACAAGACATGTTGCAAGGGGTTTAGAGTGCGACCCGGCTGAAGGGACGAAGGGTGTAGGGGGGAGCGTGATAGCCGGTTGGCTGCTCCTTCTGAACGCCTTCCACGTCCTTTGCACGCTCCGTGCCTCCGAGTGCTCTGCGCCCTCCGCCGCCCTCCGGTATGCTGCGCCCCTCTATATACCCTCCGCCGCGCCCCTCTGCGCCCCTCCACGCTCTCGGCCCCCCACGGGCCCTCCGCGCCCTCGCCCAGGATGCAATTAATACGTGTTGACGCTGCGGGCGTGTTGCGTCTATTCTGTGCGTGGTTCCTTTGAGAACGATATGTTTAGAAGGCGCGCGCGTGCAGCATAGCCTCTAGGGGGGTGGAGGGTTGGGTGGGGCCGCCAGAGGGTGCCCTTCTGCTCTTGATGACACCTGGGCTCCAAGCAACGGGTGTTGTTTCTGCTCCTTTGACAGTCCTCAAAGATGACGGTGGTGATGGTCGGGCCGTCCAGCCCCCCGCCGCTCATTGTGTTTGTGGAGGAGCCCGAGATCAAACCCTATGAGGCGCCACTCCAAACCTGTCAGGCGGAGATCGCAGCCGGCGCCGCAAGGCGCTGATTCATCCACTTCGAAAGGGTGGGGGAAGGGCCTGGTGCAGCTCCGTCGCCCCCTCCTGCGAATGGGCACTACAGGCAAGCCACGAACGACGAGGATTTGGTTGGAACTCTGAGATCATCGACTATCGACGGAGTGCGCTAGTCTGAACAGCTTGGCTGGCTCTGTCTGTGCTGGTGAGAATTGGATGCGGAGCAGGGTGAGGAGAGCCTATATCGCAGGACATTGTGGACAGTGCCGATCAGGGCAAACCAGGGCGGGCCACGAGAAGGCCGGACCAGCTGCTCTTCTGTTTCCAAGCGCACGGTCTTCACGGCGTCGTTAAAGGCCAAATATTCAGCTACCTCCCACAGTTGCCAGGCGCACGGAACAACGGTAGCAGCCGAACCGTCACTAGCGATGCTGCGCCACTGCCGGCTGCTTGATGCTGGCTTCGGTGTGTTACTACCTCCGTGGCGGCACCTCTACAACGGCGCATGCCAGTAGTGACGGCAATGTCTCCAAAGCTGATCCAGAGGAACCGGTCAACCACGAGCTGTGGTTATCGCCGTCGAGTTCGTCGCAAGTTGAAGGGTTGAGTGAGCCCAGAGTGTGGGTGGAGGATTCCGCGGGTCAAGACTTGGAGACAAGGGACCTGGGTGTTCAGAGGCTTCCACAGCCTGTCCTTGTGGGGAGTGCCCAAAAAAATTGCCGAAAGGTGGGAACGCGGGGGCCGGGGGAGTACAACTCAGCATCTTTAGGAACCAACAACATTAAAGCGTGGACTTTCCTGCATCCTTGGTGTGTAGAGGCAAGGTGACCCAGGTGTTCAGAGCCTGTCCTTGCAGGGAGCCCCTTTGAAGCCTTTAACCCCTAGCCCTATCAATGCGTTCGCCCGCCTTGTCAGGTTCCTGAGCCCGACTCCGTTGTCGTTCTTCTCGTCCACTTATGTCCCAAACTAACGCTACAATGTACAACTCTAAGCCCCAAGCCTGCGTTCGCACCGCCTCGTCAGGGTTAGCTTGTGTCGTCGTTTACGTTTGCCCTGACCTCTGAGGGTTCGACTCCTTCATTCGGTTCGATTCGTTTGCTTATTTGCCCACCATGTTGTTCGATTCGGCTCGTTCGTTTTTTTGTTTTTTTGTTTTTGCGGTTGCTTGCGGTTCGTGTCCCGGTTCCCGTTTCGATTCCCGACTTTCTTGCCATAGCTTTGATTTGGTCATGGGTTTTAATTTCCTCAAATGGTCGGCTTGAAACTCACCTAGCTGAAAGCTGGCGTCTTTTATCAATCCTACAATCCTGCACTTAAGGTACACCCGCCTTCCTCTTGCCTTCGTGTTGGGACGTTAAACGTCCGTAGCCTCAGCTTTAAGCTTGGCTCCGTCCTTGCGTTGGCTCGCACTCACCATTTGCATGCCCTTTGTCTCCAAGAGACTTGCCTTGGTCAGGATGCCTTGCCTGCTGTCAGTCAAGCTGTGTCGCAAGCTGGGTATACCTTTCACGTTGGCGCCCAAACGCTGAACTCGGCTGGTGCTCCTTATGCCGGGGTTTCCTTCCTTACTCGGTGGCCGGCTCAGGCTGTCACGTTGCCGGCTTGGCCTGACGCCGCTGGCCGTGTTGCTGGTCTTCGTGTCTTTCGGCCCCGTGCCCGCCCTTTGCTTCTTGTCGGAGTGTACTTGCATGCCAGCGACGCCTTCGCTGCCGCTTCCTTGCTTGATATGGTTCTCCCTTGGGCTGCCTCTCTGGGTGAAGACTTCTGCGTCACTGGTGATTTCAACCTGCTGAAGTCCCACTGGCCCATGTCCCATGCGTTGGCTGCTGGCCAGCTGTTTGATGCTGATGATGTTGCTGGGGATCCCGCGCAGCTCCCGGGCACTCACCGCAACGCTGAAGGTGTCCTCACAGGGCGTGTCATTGACTTCATGCTCCACTCTGCGTCTGTCACTGTCCGCTCCCGTTCCCAGCACCAGGCGGTGGCGGACCATGATCTCGTTCACTATGACTTGCCCATCCTTGGGCAGCCCGCTCGGTTGTCTTGGCCCCCTCGCCCTCGCATATCCGCCAATTCTCCTTCGAAGGATGCTTGGTCTTCTGCCTGGCCTGCCTTTCGTGCTCAATTGACACGGCGCTCGATAGTCGTAACGTTGATGCTGCTTGGGCTGCCATCTCTGCCTGCCTTGCTCAAGTGGTGTGCGATAGCGTGCCTGCTGTGGCCCCGGAGCAAGCCACCGCCCCGCGTGTCAATCCGTGCCAACCTCACCGCAAGGCTCCCACTTACCAGTCGCTCTTGGAGCGCCGCCTCCGACGGCTTGCTCGCCGTGCTGCTGAGTTCGCTCGCAATGGGGGGGATCAGGGTTTGTTTGTTGCCATCTCCCGCGATGTTAAGGATTTGTCTCCGACCTTCCCTGAGCTCGCCTCTAATGCGTGGGGTTGCCCCGAGGCCGCCCAGCTTCCTACTTCTTTGGCCAACCAGCAGGCCGAGCGTGATGCTCTTGCTCGTCTCCAGCATTGGAAAGCCACCACTGGTGAGGACATGCATCGTCTGTGTCAGTGGGTCCGGGCCACTGTTCCCACTGAGCCTGCGCACCAGCCTGCCTGCGATACTTGGACTGCGCCGCTGCATCCTCAGCACCAGGCTGAGGAAGCCGCGGAAACCTGGAGGCACATGTGGGCCCCTACCCAGCTTCCTCAACCTGTTGGCTTTCAACAACTTCGCCACCTTGTTGTTCCAACTGAGGAGTACCCGCTTCCCGCTGTGACTGCTGCTTCCTTGTTTGCTCGGTTCCGCGCCTCCATCCGTAAAGCCACTGGGCTGGATGGTTGGGGCGCGGCGGCCTTTGTTTCTGCTGGCCTGCCGGCCTGTGAGGCCCTTGCCCAGCTGTGGGCCCTGTGTCTCCAAACTGCGGAGCTTCCCGCCGCGTGGCGGCGCATCCGCGTTGCTTTATTACCAAAGCCGGAGGGTGGCCTTCGCCCCATATCCGTTGCGTCCGCTGCGTACCGCGCCTGCATGACCTGTCTGCTCCGCGCTTGCCGCCCCTGGTTTCAGTCTTGGGCTGACCCGGAGTTAGTCGGTGGTGTCCCTGGTAGATCCATGGCGCAGACACACGATGAGCTCTTCGCTGCTTTGCATGACGCGCGCTCCAGCCGTCAGGCGCTCGTCGGCGCCAAACAGGACATTCGCAAGTGTTTTGACACGGTCCAGTGGGACCTTGCTCTTCAGGCTTGGTCTTGGTTGGGGGCTCCTGCTCCGCTTGTCTCTCTTCTGCGCGCCTTCTATGAAGGCCAACAGCGTTGGGTGGCTGTCCGCGGCCACTTTGCCAGCTCTTGCGTTGCCCCCACACGGGGCTTGCTCCAAGGCTGCCCTGCTAGTGTTGGGCTGTTAAACGGCTTAATGTTGCTTTGGGTTCGGAGCATCCGTGCTACCTCTCCCACTGTCAGCATGTCCATCTTTCTTGACGACCGTGCCCTTTGGTCTACCGGCCGGGGTGCGCCCGATCATCTTTGTACTGCCTTGCAAACTGCTGCCACTGTGGACCAAGCTTTGGCTCTGCAAGTTCACCCCGACAAGCTCGCTTGTTGGGCCACCCGTGCTCCCGCTCGCCGTGTGCTTGCTGCCCGGCCGGCCCTGTGTGGCCCTGTCGTTTCTGGCTTTAAGCTTCTGGGCATTCACTACCGCCTTTGCGCCCACACTGGTGCTGTTGACTCTGCCCGTCTCAACCCGGTCATCACAAACCGTGCTCGCCGCATTGCCATTGCGGCTCGCCACTTGCATCAACGCAGGCGCCTGCTGATGGCCTTGGTGATAAGTTTGGTTTCTTGGCTTGGCCCCTGGACTAGCGTACCTCACCTTACTGCTCAAGGGTGGGCTAGGGCTGTGGAGACTGCTGTTGGCCGTGTTGTCTCTGCCCGGTCTCGCTTTTTGCTTTGGGCGGTGTGGGCAAGGCCGCGCCTGCATCCCAAGTTTGCTCTTGCTTTCGCTGCCGTCCGCCATGAGTTGCGGCGCAGCGGTGGCGCGCAACCGCCTCCGGCTCGCTCTCGCGCGTGCCCTGCTTTGGCTGCTGCCTTGTCCACTTTTGCTTGGACCATCCGGCCGGATGGTGTGTGGTGCACGCCTTTTGGTCAGTTTAGGCCTGGGTTTCTTTCGGTTGGGGTTGCTAGGCTTCTAGCGGAAGATTCCTGGCTTCGTGAGCTGTGGGCGGCCGACCCTAAATCAGGTGGCCCGTTGCAGGCCACCTCGCATTTTGCTTTGCGTTACCACCGTGCCCAAGCGCCGCACCATGCCACTGGTGGTGCGATGCGCCGTGTCTTGCACGCTGCCGCTCATGATACTCGCACCTTGGAACGCATGCGCATTCCCTTCACGCCTTGCGTGTGCGGTGACCCGCTCCCCACGCGCACGCATGTCACCTTCGACTGCCCGGCTATGCCTTCCCCTCTGGCTCATCGCTCCTCTGCAGAGCACCGTTTCTTGGTTCCCCTGCTTTCCGGGCTGAGTGCCCCTGAGTGGCAGCTCCCGGATGTCCCTGAGGACTTGTTGCTTGCACTCTCGGACGCCGAGACGATTGACTCTGCACTGCTGGTTGCCACCGATGGCAGCGCCTTGCATGCCCCTGAGGCTCATGATCTCTTGTGGTTCCAGCACGCAGGCTGGGGCATTGCCTGTGCACCTGGTGTAGGGTTTGGTGGGGTGGTTCCTGGGTTAGATAGGTCCTCCGCTGCAGCAGAGCGCTATGCTCTCCTCGTGTTAGCCACAGCAGCTGCCCAGCTGGGTGCGCCAGTGTGTGTTTTCACAGACAACAAAGCCTTGGTTACCGGGTTCCGATCTGCTCTTGCCATAAACGGCGAGTTTCGAGCCTACTGGGCGCTTGTTCACCGCCTGCTTCCTGCAGGCTCCGCTGTGTACTGGGTTCCTGCACATGGCCGCCATCCCGAATGGGAGTCGCCACTTGCTCCAGTGCCTACCGCAAAACTGCGCGCTCTCAATGAGACTGCTGACAGCGCAGCTGGTCAAGCCACTGCGCCTTTTACCCATGTTTTCGCTGCAGCCAAGATGGCTGCGGCTCAAGCTGCCTCCTGGGCAGAAACTGCGGTGACCCGCCAAGCCTTGCTTGTTGCCACCTGGCACGATGCTGTCGCCCAGGTCGCTAGAGCAGCGGGCAGGGTGAGGGACTTCTAGACGCCTTGACTGGCTGTTACCCACACTTGTGGCAGGGTGCAGTCACGCCATACATACATACATACATACATACTTAAGGTACACCTCGAGACTTTGGTGCGTGTTCGAACTGGCCGCCTTCCTGCATAGCCACGACACATATACAAGCAAATCTTTGGTGGTCTGCCCAATTTTCGTGGGCCCCGCATTGTTGATAGCCCACATGGGCCTGTGCATAGTGGTGCTTGGATTCGTATGTTCACAGGTGGGGATTTTTCCGTGGGGTACGCTCATGGTGTGTTCCCTCACTTTCCCGTGCCTGACACTGCTGGCGTATGTTGTTCTTGCACACTGCCGCAGCATCATTGTGATGCAGCAGCAACTCAGCCAGTTTGGAATTGAGCACGCTAAATCTCAGTGTTGCGATTGCGGTCATGTACACAAATATACTGGTGACAAGATGATTTGTGACCGCAACATCATCTTGCGCTGCATCTCTTCTTGGTTCGGGTCCACCGAGCAGTTCGAGTCGCTGGTGCAAGATAGGCTACTAAAAACATTGGTCCATCATCTCACCAACGAGGTCTTCTCCTACTTCCGTATCGTGCAAGCAACGAGCCCGGTTGGTTGGGTTTGCATTGACGTCTTTCTAGGAGGCTGGATTCGGCACGAATTTGATGTTCGCGGTTTGGTTCTCATCAGCAGCGCAGTCGTCGGTTATTGGCTGATGGTGTTACCCTGCATTGTGTTCTTTCTGCTTCGGCTCGCCAGCAAGGCGCATGCAATTGCTGCTCTCTGTAGGGTTGGTCGCAGCAGCCGCGCTCATGTTTGCTTGCTTCGCGGCAGCCGAGTGGTTCATGTCGACCCTCTTCTTGCACGGCTTCGGGCATCCAGCATATGCAACGCCAGTCACAGTTCCTTTCATGGCGGTACTTACTTTTGTGCTGTGGCGATGTGTGCCCCCTGCCAGAATATCCGCTCCTTGAAAGGATGGTTACATACCTAGGTCCTAGGTGGCACGGCAACGACGTCTTGAACTGCCGGCAAAGAAAGACTACTATTTTTGCTTAAGAACGCCCAAAAAGCAAAGAATAGGAATCCCAATGTCACCCTTAATAAGGAAGAATATGTTTTTACTTTTTGGGGTTCTTAAGCAATTAGTAGAAGAGTGCGCAATTGCTCTTCGGGACGGCCCACAGTCTGACTCAGGCTAAACCCTAAACCCTAAACCCTAAACCCCAAACCCCAAACCCTAAACCCTAAACCCTAAACCCTAAACCCTAAACCCTAAACCCTAAACCCTAAACCACCCTAAACAACCCCCCTGTTTTGAAAATTCGCAAATGAGCGAGTTAGCATGAAGTCGGTTTGCAGTCAGGGACCAGTTGTGGTGCTGTGTCGTTGAGGAACATGGGGGGGTTTAGGGTTTAAGGTTTAGGCTTTAGGGGCATCCTACTATTCGGGGGCCTTTCTTTAGGGTCCCCTATTTTCGTAAACCCCCACATGTGATGCTTGGCTTCGTTTGGAAGAAGGGCCACGCAGTTTAGGGTTTGGGGTTGAGGGCTTTAGGGTTTAGGGTTTAGTGTTTAGGGCTCTTAATTAAACCCTAAACCCTAAACCCCAAAAAAGCTTAGGATGTGTCGATGCGCAGCTTTTAGGTAAGGGCTGGTAGGGCAGCTGCACATCCGGAAGCCTAAGTCACGTCGCCCAGTCTGATCAAGTGGGCCAGCCTGCGCTATCCAGTGGCGCCCGTGCCCTCTCATGCATGTATAAACCCTTGAAACCCAAACCCAAAACCCTAAAACCCTAAATCCCTAAACCCTAAACCCTAAATCCTATGCATTGGAGGAGGTCCGCAACCTAGGTATTTTGTTTTTTGGGGGGGCGGCGGTTCTTAAATGTCCTCCAGACTCCAGTCTTACACCCGCGGCCCTCGACCTCTCCTCCCCCAACAAAGCCCCGGCGTGCCCCCCACTCTCTGAGGGTTTGGGGTTTGGGGTTTGGTGTTTTTCTAGGGACTCTCAGGCTCATAGGGTTCGGAAACCTCACAATTATGTCTTAGGGTCGGGTTTTGTATGTTCCTAGTTATACTAACAGTTCAAGGGAGAGGGGTTTAAGGGCGGGGTATGTAACCTAAGTTTCCCTGATACTCCCCACGAAACCCTCAGGCTCCCTAAGCTTCCCGAAGGTTCCCCAGGTACCTACCCCCCAAAAAGAACCCGCCTTAAAAGAACCCCTTAAGAACCCAGAATCTCAGAACTCTGTGAAGTTTGGGGATTCGGGTGTAGGGTTTAGGGTTCAGGGTTCAGGGTTTAGGGTTTAGGGTTTAGGATTGATGTCTCGAAAAAGATGTTTTTTGTAAGGTTTAGGTGCCTCGACCTTCAACCCAAAGCCCGACCGTACTCGTAAAACAGATTGAGCTGTAAACCTTCTTGGAGGTTCATGGGTACTTATCCTTATTGGAAGGGGTCCCTTATTGGGGTCCCCCTTATAAGGGGAACCTTACTGGGGTCCTAATTATAAGGGGAACCTTCTTGGGGTCATTTGGGGTCCCTATTCCAACGGGGTACGTGTAACCCCAAGTATGAATCTACTTTATAACCTACTCAGGGGACTGAAGGGGGGGGGGCTTATAAGTGCAGCTATCACTGGGGTTATAAGTACCCTGAACCTCCAAGTTGGGATGTTCCCCCTTATACTAACAGTCCCTAAGAGGGATTATAATAGGGGGTACTATAACCCTAAACCCTAAACCCTAAACCTGTTTGTATAAGGGGGAACATCCCAAGGCAAGCCCTCCACCGCCAGGGAGAGGGGTACGATCTGAGCACGAAGACCCCGTGGATCAGCAGCCGCACGCGCTTCTCCCAGTGGTTTAGAGTTTAGGGTTTAGGGTTTAGGGTTTCGGGTTTAGGGTTTAGGGTTTAGGGTTTAGGGTTTAGGAACAGGAAAACCCGAATAGTACAAGGGAGCCCTTCCGTACTCCTACGCTGCTAGAGGGTGGTGTCGGTCGACTTGAGCCCAGAGTAGGCCCTTGGTCCCTTAAAGGCCCCTTTTAAACCCAAATTCACACCCTTAAACCCGAAACCCTAAACTTTTACAAGGGTCTAATCAAACGGTGCAGAGTTTCAGGATTTAGGGCTTAGGTTTTGGGTTTTGGGTTTTGGGGTTTTGGGGTTTTGGGGTTCGCACATCCATGATGGGGGGGGATGTTGCTCGGTGGAAGAGTGGGGCTTGGGGGAGATCTCGGATCGTGCTTTCGGTACCCTAACACCCTAAACTCTAAACCCTGCCCCATTTAAGTAGCCTGGATCAAGCCCTATAAACGCTCAAACTTTTGATGTACCCTATTAAGGATTATACTACCCCGAGTATAATCCCTAAATAGGGGCTGTCAGTATAAGGGGGAGCATCCCAACCCTTAACCCTGCTGGGTTCAACAAAAGTGAGGAAGTTGAATCATGCATGTGAGAAGGTGTTCTGCTGCTGTCTGGCAGCAAAGCTGGGTGCTAATTGCAGCAAAAACAGTTGAACACGACGTCCTCCAAGCAGAAAGACATGTCCCGCTACGGAAAGGTGGATGCCCATGGGGCTTTGCGAAAACAGGGTACCGCTGACAAACACCTCCAGATAGTAGGAGTCCCTTATAATAAGGACCCCAATAAGGTACCCCTAATTTCGGAAACTCTCACATCTCTTTTTTTTCGCATTGCTTGGGGTGCCAAGGCCATTGGGCATTGCAAGCTGATTCAGAAAGTTGATTCATGCATGCAAGGTCGTGAGAGCGTGTTCTGCCTACCTGGCTTGGGCTAAGATGGGGAGTGGGCAGCATGGATCGGGTGCGCATTTAGAGTTTTGCCGTGGGATGCTCCCCCTTATACTAACAATCCTTAATGGAGATTCTAGCAGGGGCAACATAATCCCTATTAAGGACCGTAGTATACAAGGGAACGTCCCAAGTTCTGCCTTTCTGTTTCTGGTACACGTTCACCTGAACACGCCCAGGTCAGGGCGCTGCTCGCGTGATGTTCTGAGTATTGGCACCTCACACTGCGAAGTGCAGGTGCCCAGCATGAAAGAAGAGCTTCAATATGGCTCACCCGCCCTATCTTCAAAAGGATGTCAGGACAGTGTCACGAAGTCAAGGTTGCCTGCACCCTAAAGCCCTAAATCCTGACCCTACACGTCTAACTTGGCGGTGCTCTGGTCAGTTTTGGGTTTAGGGTTTCGGGCTCACAGTTCAGCTTTCATCTGGCCCTCCAGCTCTGAAAATACAGCAGCACCGCGCTAGCCCCTTTATCGCCCCAAATAGAACAGAATCCCTGAAAGGGATCCCCTAAAGGGTACCCCCGATTTTCGGAAGGTCTTGCCCTACAGCCTCGTCCTGGACCAAACTTCCGGATTTATGTGAGTTTTAGCCACCGTAAAACTCGCGAGCCCCCAAAAGCCCAGGGAAGTAAGTTTTCATCCCAAGCAGCCACCATAAACCCTAAACCCTGAACCCTGAACCCTAAACCCTTCAGGTTTAGGGGGCAGGGTTTAGGATTTAAGGGAAAAGGTCATACACAGATAGTTGCCGTTGAGAGAGAATCTGGATCAGGGGCGTTCAGGGCCCCAGCCTCCGGACTCTCACACTCAGATTCTCACATGTCACATAAACCCTAAACCCTAAACCCCAAACCCTGAACCCTAAACCCTAAACCCTAAACCCGAGCCCAAAATCATGGCCGCACATCCATTGGCATGATCTTGACACTGACAACTTCGACCTGCCAGCTCACGCCGAACCTGCGGGCCCAGCCCAGATCTACACAAGCGCAATGTAGGGGTGGAATGATTACTAGCAGTATTCCCTCATGGTCCCTTTATTAGAATACGAAAAAAACCCCGAAGCTTTTCAAAACCCTATTCTAATTATTAAGGCCCCTATATTCGGCCAGTGGCGCCAAAAAAAAAAAAGTTCCTAAATCTCGGAGACACTGTTGCGAGACGCTGAAGTGTTGGCCTAGGTTTGCGTGGATAGATTTGGAGCTCATGCTGCCATGGCGTCCACAGCTGGCCTCGAGGTGTGCATCGGCATCCCATCTGACTTCCACAGGGCAGCGTCCCTTGGATCTGATGGCATAACCTCTGCGCCAGGGACTTCCATGACAGAGGAGGACGTGTTTGTCGAGGCGTACATTGGGTTCATCTCGGAGATGAATGCGACAAGCCCGGAGGTCGTGCGAGCGATTCCAGTGCATCGGGTCTTGCAACTGGCACCGTGGAGGTGGGTACTCAATGGGTTCAGCTTTCTCTACCCCTTCAGCATTCAGACGACCCATCCCCACGAGTTCTGGTCCCACAGCTGGCGCACAAGCGCTTGGCTCAAGTACCTCAACATACTTTTCCTGAACAACAGCGTTCCAGCTTTCTTCGTGTCTTGGCTCAGTGCCTTTGTCGCCTTGTTCCTGTGCGTGGCAGGCGTCTTGCCTGCGTGGGTCGGCGCACCATTCGAGTACATTTGGTGCACAGTGGCTGGGACGCTGGGCTACGTCTTGACTTTGCTGCTCTGGCGGTGCAAGAAGCTGGTATTTCTTGACATTGCCTGCATCAGTCAGACAGACGAGGCGCTGAAGTCAGAGGCTTTGGTCAGCATGGGCGCTTTCCTGAAAAACTCCCAGTCACTTTTGGTTCTTTGGGACGAAACGTACCTTGGACTTGTGTATCGGACATGGAAAACGTAGCAGAAGAAAGTCCAGGCACCAGCTAAACAAAGGTATAAGTTGACACGAGTGTCGCGCCTGTGCAACGAAAACAAGCTTTTTGGGGAATCCTGTTGTCGCGAGCTCACGTAAAAACCAGGCACGCCACATGTGGGAGTGGAAAAACAAGAAAAACAAGCAAGCACAAAACCCCGAAAGGGTTTAGGGTTTAGGGTTGAGGGGGCAGGGTTGACAGGTTGGGGGGCTGGGGAAGTAGGGGTAGGGAGGGACGAGTAGGCAGGAAGTATTACGGACGGGAAGGGTGAAAAACAAACCCTAAACCCTACACCCTAAACGCTGAACCCTAAACCCTAAACCCTAAACCCTGAACCCTGAACCCTGAACCCTGAACCCTGAACCCTGAACCCTGAACCCTGAACCCTGAACCCTGAACCCTGAACACAAAACAAGTTTTGCAGGGGTGGTTGGGGGGCCGCTTGGTCGGGCCCAAATTCCTCTGGTACTGATGCACCGTCCGCTCCCGGACACCTGTGGGTTTAGGGTTTAGGGTTTAGGGTTTAGGGCTAGAGGGGGGGTACCCATTCCAAGAGAAGAGGACCACAGAAAAGGGGGGTGCTCATTGTTGTTGCAGAGGGGATTCCAGGCATACAGAACCCTTCTTCAAGTAAAATCCTGTGCTTCACTGTTTGGGGCTGCTGGCCTTGTGTTTGTTCGCAATTACTTGGGATGTGCCCCCTTATACGAATTAACAGTCCTTGATAGGGAGTATAGCACCTTGACTAGAAGAGTACCCCCGATTAGAATCCCTATGAAGGACTGTGAGTATAAGGGGGAACATCCCAAGTAACGGTTGATACTATAAATCCTGCATGACTCTACGATACCAAACAACCATAATTCCTAGGGTTTAGGGTACTTCGGGTCATGCAGGAAACCCTAAACCCTACACCCTAAAGCCTAGAGTCATGCAGGATTTATAGTATCAACCGAATGTCTTTATTTTGCTGTCACGGCTGCTGGCAGTTGCGGTTGCTGGCTCCCGCGGAGGCCGAGGTATCGTCTGTTTAGGGTTTAGGGTTTAGGGTTTAGGGTTTAGGGTTTAGGGTTTACGGTTCGTCGTATCTTTTCTAGCTCACCTTGGTGCAAGCTGGTATCGTTTACCAATCCTACATTCCGACGCTCAGGTACACCTCATACATACATACACAAGCTAAGGTACACCTTTAAAAACAAGAAGCTAAGGTACACCTCGAGACTTTGGTGCGTGTTCGAACTGGCCGCCTTCCTGCATAGCCACGACACAAATGCGAGCAAATCTTTGGTGGTCTGCCCAATTTTCGTGGGCCCCGCATTGTTGATAGCCCAGATGGGCCTGTGCATAGTGGTGCTTGGATTCGTATGTTCACAGCTGGGGCTTTTTCCGTGGGGTACGCTCATGGTGTGTTCCCTCGCTTTCCCGTGCATGACACTGCTGGCGTATGTTGTTCTTGCACACTGCCGCAGCATCATTGTGATGCAGCAGCAACTCAGCCAGTTTAGAATTGAGCACGCTAAATCTCAGTGTTGCGATTGCGGTCATGTAAACGAATATACTGGTGACAAGATGATTTGTGACCGCAACATCATCTTGCGCTGCATCTCTGCTTGGTTCGGGTCCACCGAGCAGTTCGAGGCGCTGGTGCAAGATAGGCTACTAAAAACATTGGTCCATCATCTCACCAACGAGGTCTTCTCCTACTTCCGTATCGTGCAAGCAACGAGCCCAGTTGGTTGGGTTTCCATTGACATCTTTCTCGGTGGCTGGATTCGGCACGAATTTGATGTTGGCGGCTTGGTTCTCATGAGCAGCGCAGTCGTCAGTTATTGGCTCATGGTGTTTCCCTGCATTCTGTTCTTTATGCTTCGCCTCATGTACAAATTCAAAGGTGGCGGCCAGTCACCAACAATGCGCACGCAAGTGCTGCTGTCTGTAGGGCTGGTGGCAACAGGCACGCTCATGTTTTTTTGCTTCGCGGCAGCCGAGTCGTTCAATTCGAACCTCTTCTTGCATCACTTCGGACACAAAGCATATTCGTCGCCAGTCACGGTTCCTCTCATGGGTGTAGTTACTTTTTTGCTGTGGCGGTGTTTGCCCGCTGCCGACATCTCCACTCCTTGAAAGGATGGTGACAAACTACGCGGCACAACAAAGTGCCCTAAACCCTAAACCCTAAACCCCAAACCCTCAGGACGGCCACTCATTCCGAAGGTTAGAGTGGAGGCCGGTGAGAGCTCTCCGAAATTTCGGGGGTCCAACTCAGCTTTTCCATATCCTGCGGGCCATGGCACCGTGGGTTCTTACAGGGTAACCCTAAACCCTAAACCCTGAACCCTGAACCCTAAACCCCAAACCCTAAACCCTAAACCCCTCTGTTTTGAAAATTTGCAAATCAGCGAATTAGCATGCCAAGCCGTGTAGTCGGTTTGTTGCCAGGGACCCAGTTGTAAGCGCTGTGTCGTTGAGGATTGTGTGGAAAAAGGGGCACCAGGTTTAGGGGTTGGGGTGTAGGGTTTAGGGTTTAGGGTTTGGGGTTTAGGGTTTAGGGTTTGGGGTTTGGGGTTTAGGGATGAAGAGCTGTCTAGTCCTCAAGCCCAGGAAAAAAGATGGAGGGCTTATAGAATGTTACGTTGAGGGGGTCGATGTGCCGCTGTAAGGTTAAGGTTTGTGGGGCCCTAAACCCTAAACCCTAAACCCTAAACCCTATACCCTAGACCCGAGATCCTAGACCCTAGACCCTAAACCCTAAACCCTAAACCCTAAACCGCAGCAATTAAAGCCCTGAAATACGAAGCCTCACAAAGGGAAGGTGGCCAGCGCCCTCCCGGCCCACCATCCTGGTACTTAATATGGGGGTTTCCGAAGTTAGGGGTACCGGGTACCTTATTGGGGTTTAGGGTTTAGGGTTTAGGGTTCCTTATTTTAAGGGAATCCTGCTACTTTGGGTCTACGACATACGGGTCCCCTATTTTTGTAACCTCCTATGTAGGAAGGCGGTTCCCGAACGCCCTGAGCACAGTTCAGAAGTGCCTCGGCGCAAAGGCTAAGAACTTGGTGACCTAAACCTTACATGGGTTGGTGGTCTCTTTCAGGAGGGTGTCTGTTTTATAGGGCATATATCCGGGTTCTTATTAGGGTATCTAGGGGCTCTACTCAGGTATAAGGGTAACAGCTAAAGAGACCACCAGCCAATATAACCTAAACCCATGAGAGCCCGACAACGTTTGGGTGAGTGGCGAAGCTGTTGGTGGTCTCGGGCTTTGACGTGACTAGGGCCACGCAACTTAGGGCCTGACTGTTTGGCTTAGACTGATTTTTTCGGTTCGTTTGCATTGTGACTATGAGGGGAGATGGGCAGTTCCCAAAATAGGGGGATACCCCTTTTATGGCCCCAAATTGAAGAGAATCCCCTTAAAAAAGGGTACCTCGATTTTCGGAAAGTCTGGCCATACAGCCTCGTCCTGGACGACACAGGGACTGAAGGTCCTGAAGGCACAACATGGACCTCCTTTGTGCTCAAATCATGGCAGTGTGCCCTTGCCTACTTTAGGGTTTAAAGGTTTAGGGTTTAGGGTTTAGGGTTTAGGGCTTAGGGAGCATGAGCAACGAAACCCTCACGCATGCACCACAAGCGCACATAGTTTGTGCGCCGTAAACCCGCAACCCGAGCCAACAAGCAAACACATCGGCTCTTCGCCACCGAAAAGAACCCTGGGAATGCTGATCCCACAGAAAAGAACCCTGGGAATGCTGATCCCACAGAAAAATTAAGCTCTTGAGGACTACATAGGGCACTCTTATCTCTCCGGTTCCTGACTGACAACAAGAATGCAACCTCTGCACCCTCAGCCCCTGAAACATTGCCCAGTTGGACCCTAAACCCTTGACCTGGAGCGAACAAAAACCCTAAACCATGAACCCTGAACCTTAAACTCTAAACCCTAAACCCAGTTGGAAGCCTTGTCGTGATGGCAGCCCAGCTCCGGCACGTGCGCGGAGCAGTGAGGCGACTCTCTGCAGGCACAGAGGAAGGGGGGTTTAGGGTTTAGGGTTTAGGGTTTAGGGTTTAGGGTTTGGGGTTTAGGGTTTAGGGTTTAGGGTTTAGGGCTCAGGGTTTAACTACCATTTGTTTACTCGGTAGGCCCTTGTGGTAATTTATATTTTCCCTTCTTAGGTTTAAGAGGATCACATTCAGGAATGTTTTTTCAGAGGGTTTTAAGGGCCATCCTAGTTTAAGAACCCCCCAAAAAAAGGAAATAAAGATTCTTTCTTGTAAGGGTAAGACAGGGATTATTGTCTTGTATGCTTTTGGGGTTCTTAAGCAAGCTAGGGCTTGAATGCCGTCCTTGGGACCGTCCCAAAAGGGTTTGTAGGTTTAGAGCTTATCCTAGTACTAGCGTAGGTAACCTTTAACCTTTGTGGGGTAGTATAATCCCTTTCGAATCCCAAAGGTTCGCCTTTAATTCCCCCAGGTTACTGGACAACTAAGTTATAGGGTTTATACGGCTGTTTAGAGCCCTAAACCCTAAACCCTTGTAAAACCCTATAGGGCTTATGGGGTTCACAGGGCTTTATAGGGATTAGGATCTTGGGGTTGAGAGGGCTTTCAAGTTTAAGACATCGAGAAGATGTTGGGCAAGATTGGCGTCTTGGCGTCTTGGCGCCTAGGATGTTTAGGGTTTAGGCTGTAGGGTTTAGGGTTTAGGGCCTTAGGGTTGAGGCGTGCATTTCCCACCAAGGAACATGCCTTGAGGGGGGGGTTCTTAAGGAAATAGTAGTAAACCCTGGACTCGGCTGACATCTATGGCCTCCCAAACGTAGGAAGTTTCCATTGCCCCCCCCCCCCCCCCCC